ATATATATATATATATATATATATATATATATATATATAAATAACTCAATTGTCAAATTAATTGGTAGATTTCTCAAAGTAATCAATAACATGCACTTACTACCCAGATCAGGCTTTAAGCTGTTCCCTTGCCTGCCTAAGACTTTGGCATGATGCTCTTTCTGTGTGCGTGTTATTGGGGCTGCCACCTTCTCTTTGAGCCATGTGACTCAGCATCCCCACGATGACTCCATTTAAGCTCCGTATCCACGACACACGGTGCTCTCCTCTCCCTCCCAGGAATGGGTGGGGGAGCGCTGCCTGAAGTCTCTCTCGGAGGACAGCAGTGCCCTGCAGGACCCCGTGCTGGTCAACATCCAAGCCCAGCGCCTCCTGCAGCTCATCTGCTACCCCCACAGGCAGCTGGACAGCGAGGAGGGAGACAACCCGCAGCGGCAGCGAATCAAACGCATCCTGCAGGTCGGCTCTGCCCACATTCATCCAGAGGGGGATAGTTCAGGTCTAGAAAGGAAGCCTAGACCAAGGTTTTGGTAAAACCAGCTAGTTGAGTATAAAGAGTCAGTTACAGTACTCAACTGGCCGGCTGGAATAAAACCTTGGTCTGAACTTTTACTCTCTGGACCTGAGCTATGCATCCTGATTCACTCTAGTGCATTCGGTTGTGATGCGTGTTTACGTGCTTTCTGCAAAGATTGCTGTTTGACATGTAACTTACATTACACTTATGATACTTTGGTTGTCTTGTAATTTTATGGAAATTATATACTGCCATTTATAGATTGCTTATGTTGAGCAGAACATGTGATAACTGAAATAATTTAAATGGTAAAAAGACCAAACAGTCTCTTTGTGAGTTTGTGTGCAAATGTTCTGCAGCTCTCTAAAATAATGACTACTGAAATTGCTCAAATAAATGAAATGCCTGTAATGGGAAAAAGCTTTTGACTCCAGTCTCTGTGTTATAGAACATGGACCAGTGGACCATGAGACAGTCGTCCCTAGAGCTCCAGCTCATGATCAAGCAGAGCACAAATAACGTGAGTGTTGTAAGATCAAAGCATGAACTGATGTTACAGGGTTAGCCTTAAGCCATGTAAAGTGTCGCTTTGGCTCATTTTTTATTTAGTTTCTTTATGCATTTCAGTTATGCACTTAGTACATATTTAATAATAAGTCCTTTGTCAAATGAACTGCACATTCTTCCTGTCCCTGCAGGAATTAAATACTTTATTGGAGAATATCGCCAAGGCCACGATAGAGGTGTTCCAGAAGTCTGCTGAGATGAATACCAGTAACCCCACGGGCAATGGAGCTGCTGTTCCCAATAGCTTGGGGGCCTCTGCTTCGAACAGCAACAGCGGCAGCAAGATGAAGCCGGTGCTCAGGTGTGCATGTTCCTATTGCCAGCCTGCAGTCTGTCTGCGAATTGGGGACTCGGTATTGGCATGAAGGCATTTGTCCAGTACTGTGGACACAAATGCACCTTCACCCTAAAACAGCAATATTATGTTTTATTGGCTTTTGGCTACATGAGACCCACATGTACGCTTTTGATTTTTAGTCCTGCGTGTGGATTTCTGTGTGTCTGCAGCTCGTCTGAGCGATCAGGAGTCTGGCTGGTGGCTCCACTCATAGCCAAGCTGCCCACCTCAGTGCAGGGACACGTGCTGAAGGCCACGGGCGAGGAGCTGGAGAAGGGCCAGCACCTGGGCTCCTCGTCCCGCAAGGAGCGAGACCGGCAGAAACAGAAGAGGTGGGCGCCTCTCTGCACAGTCAGGGCGAAGCAGCTCTGAGTTCCGTGCTGATCAGTAGGTAATCGCAGGGTGGCAGTCTGTCACAAGATGAGCACCGCTTGGTTTTACGTGTTTCAAACTGGTAAGTTTGAACTGGCCTTGCAAAATGACATCAGTGGTCATTTCATCTTCTCATTTTTCAGAAAAGTGTTGGCAAATTCTGAATATTTCTGATCGTTATTATGTAATTCATAATTTATTAACTGACCTTAGCGCAGAATATGTATGTGGTTGAGATGTCAGGAAATGTACTCAACTCCTTTATTTATAGAGCACATTTCCAGCCACAAAGGTGCTTTAAGGGGGGGGGGGACACACACAAAAAAACAAAACAACCATATAAGAATACTTGGGGGGGGGAAAAGCCACAGAGAACAAGCATGTGTTTAGCTTAGCCTTGAGGAGGCTAACAGGAAGCAGGCTAGCATGCAGCGGTAGCCTGTTCCATAGCCGCAGAGCAGCTACTGCAAAGTCTCCCCTAATCTTAAGCCTGAACTGGGGAGAAACTTGTACTGTCAATGCGTTCAGCGCCTGCACCTGCAATTTCTGCAGTCTGCCCACAGCATGTTGCATTCTGTTTCAGTTTGTCCCTCTTCTGTTTCAGTATGTCCCTCCTGAGTCAGCAGCCCTTCCTGTCCTTGGTGCTGACGTGCCTGAAGGGTCAGGATGAGCAGAGGGAGGGGCTCCTGACCTCGCTCTACAGTCAGGTCCAGCAGGTAGTATGACCCTCAGAGAGCTCTGCTCATGACTACGTGGCCTTTTTTCTAAAACCATCTTATTCATGTTTCATGTCTGTCCCTCAGATTGTGACAAACTGGCGTGAAGACCAGTATCAGGATGACTGCAAAGCCAAGCAAATGATGCATGAAGCCCTGAAGTTGCGGCTTAACCTGGTACAGCATTTATTACTGTATCTGTGCCTTAGTCGTGACTCTGTTATCCGTATGGACTCTTCTCTCGGCTGTATCTGTGCCCTGGTAGTGACTCCGTGTTATCCGTATGGACTCTTCTCTCGGCTGTATCTGTGCCCCNCTCTTCTCTCGGCTGTATCTGTGCCCCCAGTAGTGACTCTGTGTTATCCGTATGGACTCTTCTCTCGGCTGTATCTGTGCCCCCAGTAGTGACTCCGTGTTATCCGTATGGACTCTTCTCTCGGCTGTATCTGTGCCCCGGTAGTGACTCTGTGTTATCCGTATGGACTCTTCTCTCGGCTGTATCTGTGAGCGTCTGTGGTCGCCCTGGCCCCCTCACTCACGGCCTGCTCCTTTGCAGGTGGGGGGCATGTTCGACACGGTGCAGCGCAGCACCCAGCAGACTACTGAGTGGGCAGTGTTACTCCTGGACATCATCAGCAGCGGCACTGTGGACATGCAGTCCAACAAGTCAGTCCCTGTCATTTGCCGGGTCCTGGGTCTCTGAGCACTTCACCGGTTCTTTGTCCCACATGCACAGGACCGGTCCAGCAGATAGTTAATTTGTATAGATATCATTGTCTCCCTGGGTCTCTCTATGCAGTTCTCACATTCTCCCTGTTAGCGTAGCATTTCTCTGGATATTCCTGTTACCTCATTGCATTCCAAGACTATGTGGTTAGGTCAGTTGATGTCTCAAAAATGTCCTTATTTTGTGTATGAGTGTGTGCCCTGCACTGGCCTGGTATCCCATTTAGGGGTCTTAAACCCAGTGCATCCTGGGATATGTGTCTGCATTACTGTGGCCCTGTACTAAATAATTGGTCATCGAAAATGGATTTTATTACTTGGCTGACTGGCTATTCATTTTATGGTGCTGCTGTTGGTTGTCCCAGTCTCTCATAGCTCTTTGTGCCTCTTTCAGTGAGTTGTTCACCACCGTCCTGGATATGCTGAGTGTGCTTATTAATGGCACACTAGCTGCTGATATGTCCAGCATCTCCCAGGGCAGCATGGAGGAGAACAAGAGGGCCTACATGAATTTGGTGAAGAAGCTCAGGGTAACTGCTAGACTTTTGACATGGCGACCTTTTAGTGATGATAGACTGCCAATGGCCACGTGCTTTGATTGCGTCTCTTTGCTTGGTTTCCATGCAGAAGGAACTAGGAGACCGACAGTCGGAGAGCCTCGAGAAAGTGCGGCAGTTACTGCCTCTCCCGAAGCAGACTCGCGATGTCATTACCTGCGAGCCCCAGGGCTCCTTAATCGACACTAAGGGGAACAAGATAGCCGGCTTCGAGAAAGAGGTCATCCCGCTATATATATTTTTCTCTTTCAGTCACAGTGATGAAGTTTCTGATTTAGACTTAAGGTGAACCTTAAATATAAGATGTGCTCTTTTAAAAGAGAATTCAAAGAAGATAACGTAATCTGAAAGCTTAGTATGCAACAAGTCAATGCGCCTTTCTCCAAACAGGGTCTTCAAGTTTCAACGAAGCAGAAGATATCTCCGTGGGATGTGTTTGAGGGGCAGAAACACTCTGCCCCCCTGTCCTGGGGCTGGTTTGGGACTGTCCGGGTGGACCGTAAGGTCACCAAGTACGAGGAGCAGCAGCGCCTCCTGCTGTACCACACGCACCTGAAGCCCAAACCCCGTAGCTACTACCTGGAGCCCTTGCCGCTACCCCCCGAAGAGGAGGAGCCTCCCACGCCTGTGGCCCCCGAGCCAGAGAAGAAGATGGCCGAGGCAGCCAAAACGGAAAAGAGCACGCCTGCCATCACCTCGGACCCCAGCAAGAAGAAGAACAGCAAAAAGAAGAGGAACCAGTCAACAAGCAAAACTGAAGTGAGTCTTCCTGAGCTCTTCATGCTCTCAGAACTCAGGCCTGTTGGAGTATAGAATGCGAAGCACAAAACTCACTTGGTTTATTAATACTGCTTATTACATTTATTACCAAATATGTATTTTTGCAATGTGGTCGAAATCAGGACGTACTGAAGAATAATGTTGAATTCGCTATAGGTGTATGTGACTGTTTAACATGGTCTGTCGTCGTTTGCTCAGGACTATGTGATGAGCACCGCAAGAGGATCTTACGTGAACACCATGCCTACGGACCTCCTACATAACCAGCCTGGGCACCATTACAACAGGATGGCATATAGCCATCAACCTATGGGCATTTATCCTCAGAATCAGCCTTTGCCTGCAGGTCAGTCTGATGGCAATACCCCATGCCATTCATTCATTAGCCAAGACACTTATGTTGACATGGGTCATTGTTATTTGAATCCCATCTTGGCAGGAAATGGGCCACGGGGCAGGACTAGACTGGATAGACGGCCAGAGGGCACAAATGAGCAGGTGCAGTTTAGACGCCCCTGGTAACTTAGGATGTATGAACTGGATGAGGAGAGGAAGCCAGTTTGGAGAGAGAAAGCGATCAGCCGCTAACCGGGTCAAGAACGATGGCAGGTTTCTGGGAGTGTAGACTGCAGACTACAGCTCTTCCTGCAGACTACAGCTCTTCCTGCAGACTACAGCTCTTCCTGCAGACTACAGCTCTTCCTGCAGACTACAGCTCTTCCTGCAGTCTACAGTTTAGTGTCATTGTTCCGTAGGTGATTAAATAATAACTTTCCCCAAGCTTTATAGCCTTTGAGATTTTAATAATAGATACTTTATTGATCCCTGTGGGGAAATTTCCTTTACGCCTTCCCTCTGTTAGTGAGAACAATCTGACCACGGAGGGCAGCCACCCATAGCAGCACCCAGGGAGCTGGGGGTTAAGGGCCTTGCACGAGGACCCGCAGACGTGCTGAGGCCAGGCTCGAACCGGCAACCTTCTAATCACAGGCACAGAGGCTTAGTCCATTGAGCCACAGGCTTAGGCCCGTATGCGTCAGGCTCGTGTGCAACTCAGCTGTGTCCTTGCTGTTTTCTTAGTAAAACCATATTTGTTTTTGGCTGCTTTCTTAAGCTGTATGCCACCTACTATGTCTAGTAAATGTAGTTTCTGCTTATGGTCAAGTATGAGAGTCCTAAGGACGAGCGTAACCAGTACGTGTAACGCTCAGGTTTCTCGGTGCCTGGGCTGACAGTCTTACACTCCTCATTTCATCACCTAGGTGGTCCTCGGCTTGAAACCTCTTACCGGCCTCCTCGCAATATTTCTATGGGCAAACTGGTGCCCACCCGGCCACCTTACCCGAACATGATGCCCACTGTGCCGGGGAGCATGCCAGGCATGATGTCTCTGGAGCAGCAGCAGCAGCAGCAGTATAAGATGACTAACTACAAGCAGCAGCCCCCCATGCCGCAGAGTCAGATGATGCGATTGCACCTGCAGGCAAAACTGGTAAGCCTCACTGGTCTGTCCCCAACGGCCTCGTCAGCCTCACTGGTCTGTCCCCAACGGCCTCGTCAGCCTCACTGGTCTGTCCCCAACGGCCTCGTCAGCCTCACTGGTCTGTCCCCA